GCGGTCACACTAATGATAAATACAACAAAGTTTTGGCCAAAAATGATTACTTCCTGAATCGGCAATTTTACATTATATGTAGTTTCTATGCAAAATTGACAATTTACATGTACGAAGTAATAATTTTTTGGCCAATTTTTTGTCATATTCATCATCAGCGTGACTGTATCAAGAAATTTTGTGCTCACCATGTTGTGCCGTTCCTGCATTTGGCCACAAAATGCAAGTAAAGCAGAAAGTAGGTAAAAATAGCTACTTTGGGTAGCTTTAAATACATAAGTAGCTATTAATACCTACGTAGGTAGAAAAGTTAAAATAGCTACTTTGGGTAGCTTTAAATACATAAGTAGCTATTAATACCTACGTAGGTAGAAAAAGTCTTTGGACTGGACCTGCATATGGCACAGCTCTAGCAGTGATCGTCCTTTGAGAAAAGTTTCTGAAAGATTGTCTCAGCCATCTTCGAGAAACAGCCTGGACAACCAAGAATTGTGTACAGTCGCAACATGTCGTCACCGACTTCGTTCGGGACGACATAATTAATCATCAAAATAAAAAAGAGTAAAATGTTGTGCAAACATGGTCCAGATATTAACATTCCAACGACTCTACCTTCTATCTCAATGGTCATTTTGCCAAAGTTTTGTGGTTTTAGTGACACCAGTTCTTTTCAATTTGATAACGATCACAAAAAGATACAAATTACACAAAACACGCAAAGTACAAATTTATTTATTGCCTGTAAGCTTCGTCACGGAACATTGGTTTTCATCGGTGATACTTTATTTTCTTTCTACAGCTGTTAAGAATACTCATTTGTGCAATAATTTGAAAATATACCATTCTATAAATGATTTAAAATAAATATATTGATTTAAGTGAATACTTAGAAGTTTTGCTAAGTGTGTGGCACGTCAAATTCACAAAAATGTGCCACAATTGATAAACTAGGTTTTATGACTGTAAGTTATAGTTTACAAACTGTGAACGTTACTATAGTTTTCAAGTGTGAAACTATATTTACCGGTTGTTAATTAACTATAGTTTAGGAATGGTAATCTAAGTTTATCTGTCTTAAATAAAGCGTTTTACATTAGATTTTGTTGAAAAACATAGATTCACGTTTGAAAACTGTAATTTACAATCGTAACTATAGGTAAGAATTGTTTATCATAGTTTCACAAATCGTGAAACTTTATTTATCAGATCGTTAACTATAGTTAAGAATTGTAAACCCTAGTTTACAAATCGTGAAACTGTATTGATCAGGTAATATATGTTTTGCAATTGCAAATGATTTTTTCCTGTGTTAAGTATAGATTACGGTTGTGAAACATAGATAATCGCCTTAATTATGATTTACTGATGTAAAATATAGGTTAATGCTGTTAACTATAGTTTATAGTCAGTAAACTACAGTTTACAAGCAATAAACCTACCTCATTTTGTGAATTTGGCGTGCCATAGCTATGGTTCAAAATTACACTAACATCTTTGTCTTTTTTAACACAAAAATAACATGATATGTCTGCCTTTGTAACAGAATAGAAAACACATTCGATTATATTTATATACAGTAAAATTTGTCTAATCCGGACTCTGTGTACTCCGGATTTTTGTCCATTCCGTCTATAAATTTTAGTCCCATGCACTTCTTTAACAAATTCATTAGAAAAAATTCTGTGTAATCCGGATACTGTCTATTCTGTATTCCGAACGGCCATACTGGTCCCAACTGCTCATAATTAACGGTAATTATTTCCTCTAATCCGGCCACACCTGAGTTACTTCAAAGCAATTAACACCTTTTGTGGTGGATTCGATAAACTGTGTTTACATTAGCAGTGCCATGAAACGAACTCAGTGAAACGCGGCGGTGACACAGCCCAGTTTATTAAACTGTTCATAGCTCATGATATGTTATGTAAACATTTATTATACAATTGTAAGATCTGAATATATGTATACCTTGTTTGTAATACAACTATTATGTACATGTATCTGTCTGATATGCCGTTTGGCATAAGGAAATAAAGAATTGACAAAATTGACAGCCCAGTTGAAAAAAAATTACTAGTATATGATTGAATTACAATTAAAAAATAATAATTTTGTTTTAACTCGATCCTTTCACCACATTATAACAAAAAAATAAATATGTACGCGATTTACAAATAAATATATAAATCGGGATCGAAAATCGGACGCATTTCAAAATGGCGCCACAACTGTAGGGGAAGACATAATTTTTTACATAAAAATTAAAAGTTCAATTTAATAATTAGCACATCGTAAATAATTGTGCATTACTCTTTTTACATTGAATGAGCTCTTTGACAAGCGAAACGTGATTCGCTTGATATATAGTAGGCCTATATTGCGCGTGCCTGTTAATTTTGATGTAGGTTACATTTCACCCGACTTTCAAACTTCGTGAAAAACAAGAAAATACAGTAAGTCATAAGAGACTATTTTATAATTTCTAGACTCCAAAATATTGATTGATTTCATCATTTAATTATATTTCATATCATGTATAATAATGAACTTGTAAAGTAACAACGAAATTTTCAAAGTAATGTTTTCCTGCATTTTTCCTGCACTCCGGATTCTGTCTAAACCGGCCAAATTTTATGGAACGGGCGGTAGCCGGTTTGGACAAATTATACTGTATTACGGTCATCCTACTTCATTGGGAAAAATCTTTATAACGGTCATCTTAATATTTTGTTACGGTCATCATTGTCAAAAACTTTGAGGTCGCACTACAGCTTTATTTCTTTAAATTCAAGTAAGTTATACTAACCTATAGCAAGTTCTCATTAGCGTACATATAAATTTTTCAAGAACTAACACAGATAATCTAGCAAATATTTAAAATCTTGACTGAAAATTTCTAACCGGTGACCTTGGCCGACATGTTTTGATGACCGTAGTATATACTACGGTCAGCCGCTTTCCTACAGTGTTTAAAGTTAAAGATAATACATGAAGGATATGGAAATAACGAACAGTATTCAATCTCAACGTCCATTAAACAAATATACAAAATAAGAGCAGAGCAAACACGGACCTCCGAAACATCAGAGGTGGGATCAGGTGCCATGGAGGAGTGAGCATCCCCTGCCGACCGGTCACACCCGCCGTGTGCTCGTTGTCATAATCAGGAAATAACGGGAAAAAAAATCCGTGGTCAATTCAGTGTATAAATAATGGACTAACAATTGGTATGAAAAACGTCAGTCAGCATTTCATTCAATGATAAATTGTATTTGCTGACAAGGTCATTGTATCGACCATAGAATTTACGAAATGATGACTTTAAACGAGACTGTTGATATTCTTGTTTCATCAACTTGCTTGTCAATAATTTACCTCGTTTTAGAAATTGTTCATACGTAGAGCATGCTCTTGCCTATCGAATCAACTGAGATATATTAACGCCGTATACAGGTAATGAAGGTATATTGCTGCATAAATAAGGAAAGTTGACGATTGTAAAGTTAAAGGGAAGTTTACCATAGAGCTTGGTTGTTAGATAACCATTTGTGTCTTTTTCAAGTAAAATATCCAAGTATGAAGCAGAAGTGTCGGACTCTGTGGTATCTTTTATCTCAAGCTCACCAGGATATATCGTGTCGACGTAGGAATGGAAATTATCATTATTAATTGACAATACGTCGTCGATATATCTAAATGTCGAGTTGAAGTTGAAGGCCACAGCTAATGTTTTTTCTTTTCACGCAAAAGATTTTGCATAAATTCTGCTTCATATGAATATAAAAATAAGTCTGCTAATAACGGAGCGCAATTTGTACCCATGGGAATTCCAATAGATTGTTGGAATACCTGGTCTCCAAAAACCACATAGATATTGTCAATCAGAAACTCAAGCATCTTCCTGATGTCAACTTCAGAGTACTTATGTGTGCAATCAGAATCTGTTTTAACAAAATAATTTTTCAAATGAACAATGACGAGGTAAGTAAACTTACGAGTTCCATTTTTGTTGAAGAAGCAGCTGTCAGTGATATCGAAAAGCCTGGATTTTAATTTGTCGGAATTGTTGTGTATAAAGTTGAAAAGTCGTAAGTTTTTATGCTGTTGATTTTTGTAAAGTCTTGTGATTTCAAATTGTCCAAAAGTTCTTTAGAATTTTTAAGTATCCACATCTGATTCACACCACTTCTTGAATATATAGTTGTACAGTACTCTTGAAGTTTTTCCTTCACTACTGTCAATATTTTAGTGAGAAGTAACGAAAGAGGCTTGGTTGAACATTTACTGGAACCTGCAATGTATCTTTGTTTGTAAGGATTCTTATGTATTTTCGGTATAAGTAGTATAAGGAGGTCGGTTTTCATGCAACCCCCCTGATGAATGGGTGGATTTAATCCGTTATTGTAAGAGGTGTTAATCCGATTAACTCGATCAAGACACTGGGGTCTAAAATGGCGGATCTAAGGGGGCGGTTTTACCTGTGATTCAAGATGGCGACGAAGAGGTGTTAATTAGCTGAACTCGATCAACAAGCCGGGGGTGTAAAATGGCGGATCTAAATGGGTGGTTTTACCTGTACTCCAAGATGGCGGCGCCCTGTGAAGATTACTTGCGCTCTTCGAGCGCAGCGAGACGGCGGATCCAATATGGCGATGAGGTGATAATCAAGCAAGGAGAATTTCAGACTTTAGCGCAACGGTTAAATCAAGAAGATTGAACAAGAAGATTTTGAATAAAAATGAGATGTTTTAATAATTTTTATTTGAACAGTCAAAGAATAAATTCAATGAATCCGGGAAATGTATAAATGAAGAATAAGCATGAAAAAAAATATGTAAGATTTTATAAAAGAATAATTTTAAAGTGAATGTATAATGTGTAGTTGCGTAAAAAAATTCGGTCAGTAAACTATTAACTATTGATATTATGTATCAAAAAAAAAGTCAGAGTTAAGAAAGTTATAATTTCATTTTTTTTCTCTTTAAAAGATCATATATACCTTACACAACATTTTTAATCCGATTATAAATCAATAAAAAAGTTGGGTTCTTAGTGTCGGGACTAATTGATCGAGTATCTTTGTCTCAAGCTAGCAACACTTTTTAAGCTAAGCGAGAAGTGACATTCTTCTTATTGACAACTGTCAATTTAGGTCCAGTTTTAAAGTATACATTTTGGACGTATTACTTAATGTCATATAAGCTAGTAAATCCATATATTTAAGGTTAATAATTTCTAACTTCAAAACATTCTTTAAAAATGGTGCGTCAAGGTGATATCTATTTCGCAGAGGAAACCATAATCAACGAATTTGTTTCTAAAATTTACGACTTGGTTGAATTATGGTGGTGGTGTGTGATCGAAAATCATCCATTAGTTGTGGCTAGAAGATCGGCTATCTGGCAGAAAGAAATCGCGCGCAGGTAACTTTTCCTTTTTTTATTTATACCCTTTTTTTTTAAAAAGAAAATTCTTATATAGATTAACTATCTATATCTTAAATTGAACATACAATAGACACAAGTGATTCTGTTTTAATTCAAATATATAGCTCATATAATTATTTTGTTAACTATCATATAAATTTATAACAGTAATTAACAACGACTTAATTTACATAAACAATGATATGTATACTTTTTTTTAATTCATCATCAGAGTTCAAATTACCGATGAGGATTTGGAACTTAATTTTATTGGAATTTGCCCGGTGGACCACACATTTTACAGACATGTGCAGTCCTTTGGTGATATATCATCACTTCTTGCATGGGCAAGAAGATTTCAATTGTTAGAGACTCGGCAAGTTCAAATACGCTTGCGACAGTTAACAATGGAGGGGGAACAAAAGTATGTGAAAATGAAAAGAATATTTTCAGTTCATAAGTTGTTTTTTTTTTATAAAATTTCCTTCTTTTCTTTTTTCCATTTATTTTTTAAACACATACAATTTAACTTTATATATACATATAATAGCTAATTAAAAAATAGAGAGGGTAATTTAAAACAAATAAGAAATGACGTGTTTCTCTGTATTTTTTAAAGAATAAATTTAATTTAGGGAAATGGAAGAGGATAACCAGATGTTAGCCAACGCCCTTGATGACTTCCAAAAGAAAAATCATTCGGTATGTATTCACTTAAAAGATATCTTAAAGTAAAACTGTCCAACATATTTTTTTTAATCATTTTTTCTTTCTACATTCCTATAATTTTAATCGTTTATCTTATTCATGTTTTATAGGGGAAGTCAACAAAGGTAAAATCAACAAAGGAGAAGGGGAAGGGTGTAGCATGTAAACTTTGTGGTTTCATTTCTCGAAGTAAAAGAGAATTACTGATTCACAAGCGCCAGCATCGACCAAGTTCTATTGCTACAAATCCATCCAACTCCTCTACCTGTTCCATTCCTGCCTCGCCCGGACCATCCTCCTATGGACGTTATGTTCCGGACGAATCTGGCCCGTCCACCTCCTCTGGACGTTACGTTCCGGATAACTCTGGTCCGTCCACCTCTCCTGGACGTTACGTTCCGGACGACTCTGGCCCATCCACCTCCTCTGGACGTTACGTTCCGGATAACTCTGGTCCGTCCACCTCCTCCGCCAATATTGCGCCAACCGGAGCTAGACCTACATTTAGATGTAGGACATGCGGAGAAGTTACCGTCAACAGACGGGAACTTTACCTCCATCAGAGACTCCGCCATCAACATGGGGAAGGATCTTCAGATCTTCAGTTTCCATGGGAAGAGAATGGAGACCCTGCACCTTGGGCGGGTGATGAAGATTTAGAGAGAACATATAAAGCTAATAGAAATTTCATTTTGGGAAAAGGCGAACAAGGTTCAGTCCAAAAATCGGTAAACGTTCCAATTCAAAATGTAACAACTGAAAACTTGATTGAAATTATTCAAAATTCTTCTCATTCCGAGGACCGGGCCTTTAGATTAAATCTATCTTTCGGCTTTATTCTTAGAAACATTGAAACTGGTGATTATAGGTATTTTATACCTGACAGAAATGAATCAGTTTTTGATCGCCCGGTCCTCATTAACAACATGTCTGAAATCCAGAAAAAATTACGCCTAAGACTAAATTCATTGAATATTTTGGAATATTTATTAAGACAAAGACCAAACAGTAAATGGCAGGTTGTACAAATTACGAATGTTAAAATTTATTTCTTCCGCACCAAATTTTTATTCAGTTAAAGTTTAGTCATCAGATTATTAATTCATTTATTCTAAATTGTATACACAGGCAAAAGTGGCTCGCATAAATTTCATATGAAATTCGCATGAATATCGTGCGAATTCTTCGCATGAAAAGGAGACGAAAAGGACCACACATGATATTCGCATGAAAATATCATGCGATTTTGACATGAAATTAGCACGAATATCATGCGAATAAAAATTCGCACGAAATTCATATGAATATTTTTGCTGCTTTCTTACAGATTTTCATATGAATTTCATGCGAATTTCATGTAAATATCATGATATATTCATATCAAATCCATGTGATGTAATTTATATATTTTTCCTAGTATATTGGACTTTCAATTCTTTTAATCCATTTGATGAAAAGTATTAGGAAATTCTAATACTTAGATCTGTATATGAATTTGTACAACTAATCATCAACGTTTCACTGTTACTGTATTAAAAAAATGCAATAAGTACAATCTCAAAATCTGATCCAGCAAATGACTTAATGAGCTTTATCTAAATCTTAATTTGAAACTGCTTAATTTTAACACATGCAGATTTTGAGGAAGCACCACTATGATTATCCAAGTTATTCTTTTGATGAACAAACAACTGGACACATTCTGTTTCTTAATCTTCTTTATTGAATGCTTCAATTCTTTTTAACATTCTCTGCTCAAGGGCCACCCATCTGTCTGGAGATTGTTTCATCTGCAAGAGAAAATAATTGTAATGAATACTGGGTACCGGTAAATGAAATACAGTCATGAATTTTACAACTGCTTTTCCAAAGTCAATATTTCCCTACTTATCAAGATAACATAAAATATGAACAAAAGTAGATATAGCAATCTCATATCACCCCTATGTTCAATTTGGTAAAAGGTTGAATTTATATTGCCTACATTGTAAATGATCTTTAAAAAATCAAAAAACATACATCATAAATTATAATGATTTCAAAATCATACATCATAAATCAGAATTAAAAGTATAATTATAATGTTTCTTAAGTATAAAATTATTGACAAAAAATGAAAACAATTTTCCTGCAAATGACTTTAAACTTAAAAACAATCTTGTGTCAGGTATCAATTAAACCTTGTGATAATTGTCTCTGTTTCATTGACCTATATCTGATGATGCAATTTGTATCTGTTGCAAGGGAATTTAAAAGCAAAATTTACCTACCAATTGCATCTATGTTCCTTCTGAACACACGCCAGAAATCTGTGGCTGTGGTAGCTGGATTTTTTCCTAAACAATTTGAGTCCATCAGCGAAAGATCTCTGTAAAGCAAAAAAAAAGAAATAAATCTAAAAATATTATTAAGATTAGTCATGAATTTTATATCTTCAAAGTTCAACTTTTTAAAGGAATAAGTTTGAATCTGTTTTAATTACTATTTAAACCGTCATGGAAATATTATGCACTAATTTTGCCTCTGTTATCAAAGATTGTTGGGTTTATATTGTTTTTGTACTGTTATGTCCATCTTTCTGTCTTAATATATTTAACCGTTAAACACATTACTTATGAATGGGTGGGGTTATGGCTTCATATTCCACAGGTGTATTTCATGTAACAAGAACTTTATCGGGGTACTATAAAATTTGACCTCTTGACCTTGATATTAGGGTTTGATCCACTTTTATAAAAAAAAAATCCCTAAACTTTAACCTAGGCTAATAATTTTGAACAGTTAGTGCTATCAATCTGATACTTCACATTCTTTTGTAATCATTGTGACAAGACCATTCAATAAGTTTTTTTTACCTTAAAATTGGTCTTGACCTAAGAGTTTGACCCACTTTTAAAAAATATAATCTAGGCCATAACTTTTTAATAGTTAATACTAAAATTCTCATATTTCACAGGTTAAATTATTCCTTATGACAAAACCTTCCTTCGGATGCTAACAATTTGACCTTTTGACCTTGACCTTTAAGTTTGCCTTGCATTTCAGTCCTCGCTTTAAGATGTCATATAGGCATATATAAAGGCGTAAACATAGGATAAAATAATATATGTATGCATAAGTTTATTTGCTGAGTACCTAGGAGCAGAAAAAGATGACTGTCAAAGAATTACTGCATTTTTTATATGTCTTCTATAACATCAGAACCTATTACTGGGTACCCAGGGGCAAAGTAATGTACAATTTTGGAAATGGAACTCTTTAATACTCATTATAAGTATAACTATATACTTTAAATGTACTTAGTTTGTTTGCATTCTATCAAGAAGCACTTTTACCATGCAAAATTTGGTTGATAATGGTTCAGTCAGTAATGTATAATTTGTTACTGATGGGACACACAACAACTGATGAAAAGAAAAGCAATAGGTCTAAAAACAAATAACAATAAATTGACACTTGCATCCCTCAAGTGTCCATATTAATGAAATTAAATTTCAATCCTTACCAATGCATAAGAGTCACCTTGAAGTTGGTCTTCTCCTCTGAATCGGTCATTCGGATGGTGATAACCAGAAATTGCCGAGAAGTCAGGTATACCCCTGCAGTCCAGCCTTTATTGGCATTTACTCCACATTCTTCTCTTGTGTCACTAGCTGAAATGTATCATATTATCATATTGAGATCGAATCTCACAAATTTAAGAATTTTTTATAAGCTGGTATTTTTACAATTGTACTTTTTTTAATAAAATGCATTTAAAGTTTCGATCAACAATGCATGAAATCAAAATGAAAATTTTTACGACAAATTTTGACCAAAAACAGGATATGTTTGTGAAACACTGATGCCCCCGTATGACAACATAGCAAAGATCAAACTTTTCTTAAATGCAAATTTAAGGACGTTCGATCCTGATATTTTGAGCGGATTTCGCGCAGGTCCTTTATTCATAAAATTTAGCATCATTTTTAGGTTCTAACAATAAAACTGAATTCTACAATGCAAATTAAACTATATTCAATGAAAAAACCGCGATTAAATTCCATTCAAGTAGAATGAAACTAGGGATTATATTTTGTGGCGGAAGGTTTTATAGACGAAAATGGTCAGTTTTTTTCCATTTGAACTATAACAGTGCTGTTAATTTTGGGTGCCTATTTTTCCATGCTGGTTGCACACAAAGCTGTTTTTTGCAGTGAAATATGTTATGCTAGTTCTGAAATATCTATTAAATTATTTCTTATGAATTCTATCAGCAATTGTGACAAATATAGTAAATATATTCTGAAAATCCGGGGAAAAATTGAGCCAATTTTAACGTAAAATTCACACTTTTTTACTAATATCTGAAAATGTACATCATATACCCCCACTTTTGATGTTTTTTTCTAAATATTCAAGATAACTTTGACCTATTTGCTTAAAATCAGAAAAAGTTTAAGACTTTAAAATAATTTTCTTGCCTATTATATTTTCAATGCCGGAAAATTAACATTTTATTAGTGCAGAAAGGTCAAATAATTGATTATGCGAAGCAATTTGAAACCTTTTCTTAGTCAAAATTTTTAAGTGTCTTTTTTTAAACATACTTAGAGTTCATTTTGTTTCATGCTTTAATTGGATAAAAATATTGGAGGGAAACGTTGAAGATGTAATTTTTAATTAAAACACAAATTTCAGTGCAGAAAGGTCATATTAAATGTACTGTAGCGCTAAAAGAAGCATATTGACCCCCATTTTTTGATTTGAATTTTGATTAAGCTATGTATGTAGAAACTAAAAATATACTTGCCAAAAAAAGTTTAAGACTTTAAATATCAGGATCGAACGTCGTTAATTAATAGGTACCAAAAGTAGGATATTCTCACTGGAAAGCAATTGTGAAATTTGAAAGCAGGCCATTATTAAAGTTTTTTTTTCAATAAGTACAAAAATCTCCAAGGTCAAGTCCTAAAGGCTAAGTTACTAATTGGTTTCCAATGAAAGGTCTTGCCACAGAATTACTTATGTAGAGTATGGAAGCCCTAGCCCTAACCTTTCAGAAGTTATGGCCAAGGTTAATTTTCTTTTAAAAGTAGGTCAAACTCCATGGTCAAGGTCAAAGGGTCAAAGTTCTTGTTATCAAATAAAAGGTCTTGTCACAAGAATTAAATATGTAAAATATGAAAGCACTAGCCCTAACCCTTTGAAAGTTATGGTCAAGGCTTGTTTTTTAAAGTAGGTCAAACTCAAAGGTCAAGGTCAAAGGGTCAAAGTGCTTGGTATCTAATGAAGGGTCTTCTCACAAGGATTACATATGTGAAGTATGAACAGAAAACCGTATCCCTTACCGTTCAAAAGTTATGGCCAAGGTTCAAGTTTTGCACAGGTACAGAAATCTACAAGGTCAAGGTCAAAGGGTATAGGTTGTTGGTATCCAGTGAAAGGTCTTTCAATAAAAAATACACATGTGAAGTATAAATGTCCTGGTGTCTACTGTTCAAAAGATATGGCCAAAGTAAAAGTGTAAAATTATCATGTAAAAGTGAGTCAAACTCCAAGATCAAGGTAAGAAGGTTAAATTTGTGGTATCCAAAGAAAGGTCTTTTCACAAGGAAAACACATGTGAAATATGAAAGTCATAGCTTCACTAAATCAAAAGTTAAGGACAAGGTTAAAGTTTTTGAGGACAAACAGACAGAGAGACAGACAGACAGACAGACACGACAAAAACTATAAACTCAGGGTTTTTTCTAGGTCTCAAAAACAAGGGCCTGGGCCTTTCTAATTGGGAAAAATAGCGACATTTGGTTGATATTGGGAAAAGTATCATATTTAATATTTTTCCATATAAATTCAAATAAGAGGGGTTTTGTTTTATTTGCAAAGTATTTCTTTGACTTATTTTGCATTCAGTCAATCAGTTTTGGGAGAATGCCTTTTAGATTTTTATTTGGAACAACACTTTTGATAAAAATGTTACTGCGTTTGAACATTTTTTTAACCGGTTTGTTTGTTTCGATTCTCTTTTGGGAATTTTCTTCAATGAAATTGGGAAAAACACATACTTTTTACCATTGGGAATGAGGCCTTATACTGTGGCCCCCTACGACCCCTAAAAAAAACCCTGAAACTGTTCCCCAACACTTTATTTACGGGGGCATAAAAAGGGCTAACTTAAGCTTCTGGCTTAGGTGAGAAAAATTCAATGAAATCCCAAGTCAAAATGAACTGCTTATTTTAGCAGTTTATAAACAGTTATTAGGCAGTCTGTCAATTTTTTGGCAGTTTTTAGGCAGTTCTTAACAGTCTTAGTCTTAGCATTCCTTAAAACTGCTTACAGACTGCTTAAAAACTGCTAAGAATTTGTGTAAGCAGTTCAGTATTGAAGAAACTTAAGCAGTCAAACAAGCAGTTTCTCAAAACTGCTAAAAGTGCAACTTATTATTATGCGCGAAGAAGTAATACAACACTTTTTCACTCTTGGTGGTCCTCACTTTCACTAGCCTTCATTACTGCCCATGTGTTACTGTTAATGCTTCCTGATGATAACGTCACAAATAATTGGGGGCCAGGCAGGAGTTCTTATACAGAAAATAAAATTAAATAGAAAAAATATATACTAAAAATCTTACAAGAAATGATACAATAGTTTGTAATAAATTGAGACTAATCATATTATAAAAAGCATGAGCATATGAGCTTCAAATCTTTATCCCATCAACTTGCAAATCCAGCCATCTAGTTAAATAAACAACCTGCTGTGTCCCCCTTGGTTGCTTGAAACTATAGGGTTGTATCCAATGAGGAAAGCCAGTCAAGATTTGTGCGCCTTTTCTACATCAGTTCAAAATTACAAGTTGTGAGGATGTTTGTGATGGTCTGGGATATTATATATATTTATACCCATACAGTGAAGAAGTAAAATATGCTTTGGAAAATACAATATTATCTGTGATCACCACATTGGACTGGATGTGAGCTTAATATTTATAGTGACAAGTGTATCTGAATTGATTTCCATGAGATGGGAGATCATTATTATAAAAATCTGATCAAACAATGGAATTGGATGATATAGGAAATTAAATTGCTAAAAGATTTGTTGGCAGTAATTAAAGTATGCTTCAGAAAATATGGTAAGTGTGTAGGCTTAATTGTGATATAATAGGCATACCCTCTTCTCATTTGGATAACTATTAAATTATAAAACGTATACATAATCTAGCTAGTTTGTATATTTTAATTATAAGTACTTAATATAAATTAAAATATTTGCAAATGAATTTATAAGCTACTGATAGAGGGATCCGTAGATTAGTCCACTGTATAATTAACCAAGCTCTAAAGATGCCACCGACGTTTATGCAAGAAAATGGACTTAATGAAAGGACTCATTTACAATTCATACCTTAGATCTAAATCTCAATACTAAGTCAAATTCCCATATATGATGTCATTTTTTCAAAAAATTACCCTGGAAGCAAAAATTATATGCATTTTTGTATTCATATATCATGTATATGGGTGGTGTTATGTTCTTATAAGTAGCCAAGAATAGTGCTTATATAGCATTCTTTTTAACAGTTTTTAAGCAGTTAATAAATTTTCAAATTTATATGTAGGTCACTCAGAGTCATTTCCATATAAGTAGAGCAAACAAAAGAAACACCTTAGCAGTTACTAAGCAGTTTTTAAGCAGTTCTCCTTAACCTTCCTATTGACTGCTAAGATATACTGCTAAGGAAACTGCTAAGCAACTGCTAAGTTACTGCTAATGAACTGGCTAAGTACTGCTTAAACTGTGGACTGCTAAGGAAAACTGCCTAAGGAGAGAAGAAGGCTAGTAAACTGTCTAAGAACTGCTAAAGCACTGAACTGTTAAGGTTAAAAAACTGCTAAAGAACTGCCTTCCACTTTGACTTGGGATATTCCCAGCTTAGTCATAATTGGTCACGAGATTAAATTCCATAAAGCCCGAAGGGTTTCTATGTAAAACTTTGATTGGCCATTGTGGACCCGCCCTTCCCCTGGGGGTCATGATTTGAATAAACTTGAATCTACACTACCTGAGGATGCTTCTCTGTAAGATTCATCTTTCCTGGCACAGTGGTTCTTGAGAAGAAGATTTTTAAATCATACCATCAAATTTTCATTATTTCTGAATTATCTCCCATTTGATATGGCATGGCCCTTCATTTGAACTAACTTGAATCCCCTTCACCTAAAGATACTTTGTGCCAAGTGTGGTTGAATTTGGCCCACTGGTTCTTGAGAAGAAGTCGAAAATGTGAAAAGTTAATGACAACAACAACGACGACAGACAAACAATGGACAAACTTTGATCAGAAAAGCTCACTTGAGCCTTCGGCTCAGGTGAGCTAACAAAAAATATTATAAAATACTTACATGTACTTTTGACAAATTGGGAAAATTTAGGAGTTAGGACTACTCTGGTACTTGAAATCTGGTCCTTGTGATGACAAGTAACTGTGCCTATACAGAGAAACTAAAAAATTTCAGGTACTGTAGGTTCAATAACATTTAGTTCATTATCTCTTTGTCACTTTATTTAAATTTATAAATTAACGAAGATTATATACATGTATTTACATTAAAGAAATGCAAGATAAGCAAATATAAGCTGAATGGTAAAGGTTTTGCTACATGTATACATGTAATAACAAAATTGTTATACACGTAATAACAAAATTGTTATTGATAGTTATACACGTAATAACAAACAATGTATACCACAAGCTCTGCAAAAAAAATATTTCTCTCTTAGATTTTTTTTCTTACCTGCTTACATGTATCATATTTATAATCTTTGAGAAGCTATCAATGTGGTATAATGGAGTGCCGTGCATAGATCTGCTTATAACCAGCAAATTATACCTGTGAGTATAGAATACAACATTTAATAAAGATTTTCGAATTAATAAATATTTTGTAAATATATGTACAGTACGACTCATTTTAGGGAAGTGACTAGGACTTTCTGTCTTGCATTCCAGATGTAAGTAAGCCTCTTTATATCTGCATACATTTTGGAATGCACATGCACAGGTACTTGTGGACAGGACAGTGGGTATCTTTTTTTTTGTTGAGGGGTGGAAGGATTTTTTCAAGGGGGGGGGTATTATAATGTACATTTTACACCTGCATGTAGTTAAATAACTCAATAGGATACCGGGTGGGGTATGGTTTTTAAAGGAGGAGGTTGATATAAAACTAGGAAAAAATATTTGCATGGATTACCTGAAAAGTTTTTGAAAAAGAAAGGAAAATATTGATCTCAGAACCTGAGAATCCTATCCTACAACATTAGCTTTTTTTCTATTTTTTTTTGCAAATCCAAAAGGGAGGGTTGCAATTTACCACCGTAGTTAGAATAATCTTAAGCCCTCACCGGGTGCGTAGGACATTAATTTTCACGATGAAGCTTGCGGCTCTCTTGAAGGGGAATTCGATTAAACAACCTAAAAGTAAAAACAACCAAAACATTCCTCGGAATTATTTTATGAAGAAATTGAGGAAATTGAAACCAATTTAAATCGCATGGCGGATCGACTGGAATCATCATCGGTAAATCGCATGGCGAATCGACTGGAATCATCATCGGTAAGTCTTTTTGATTGTATTAATTTTTTAGTTGTGTGTACATTGTTGGGCAAGGTAAAATTGGAAGAAATCTTTTTTTTTTGTGGTTTGACAGTATTCCACTGTTTCAACTAACGACTCGAATGCGGAGTGCATGGATGCGGAGTGCATGGACGACTTCTACGTCGACGATGCTTTATGTAACGACGACGAATACGACAACGACGACGACGACGACAACCACGACTGCGTTTCCCGAGAAGAACTGCAAACTAAATACGTGACGAAAGACAATCTGCAAACGGTGATGGAAAGAGTCGTCGACTCCCTACTGAAGAAAATGGAAAAAAACATGCAAGAACTTCGTCAAATGCCAAGTCAAATAAAATGTACGACACCCGAAAACATCACGACGGAACTTCGTAAATTGGGAACCAACGTGACGGAACTCCGTCAACAACAACTATCAAAAGAACTGAAATCGTCAATAGAAAAAATGGCAAAGACGATCGACAGACAAAAGGACACTTGCACCAACATCCAAATGTCGCAAATTGAATCGAAAAATATTTTAAAAGAAAACTTTGAATTCAATCGATCGACTACAGATAAACTGCACAGTGTGTTCACACTATTGACCTCAGAAGTTGAGACCCTATCTGACATGAAGGAAATTTTGAACCGTATGCAAGAAAAAAAGCGGGACACGCAACCGTTGTCTCCATTTAAAATGTTTGACGGAGAAATCGAAAAGCTAGTAATGACGACTCGGCCCAAGTCGTCGCCATCACCGCCGGAACGAGGTATGTTGATGTGGAAAATGTCGAATTTCACCGAAATGAAAAGGAGGCCCACGTCGTCGTTGTACAGTCCTCGTTTCTACTCTTCGTCTCGACAGGGTTATTTGCTTCAGATTCGATTGCAGTTAAACAAAACTAACTCGATGTCCATGTACATTTGCATATGCGAAGGAAACTACGACACGGAGCTTTCTTGGCCTTTTGCACAAACGATCGAATGTACCTTTTTCAATCAAGCGGGCGGCCCAAACTCGACAAGAAAGATTGTCATAACGGACAGGGACGATCTCACGCCGTACTCTAATAAATCGAGAGAGGCGATGTTGCTGAATGATTTCATTTCTGTTTCCGATTTTCGATCACGGTACGTGAGAAACGAGACTTTTGTTTTAAGAGTGGAAGTCTGCTGCGACGACGACTGCGACGACGACGACGATGCTGCTGTTGTCGTCCCTCCTCCTCCTTCTTCTCCCGTCACTCCCGCTGCCACCGTTATTGCCGCTAATGCTGTTTCCCCTGCCGCCGAAGTGTCCGCCGCTATCGCCTATGCTGCTTCCCCCGCCGCCGCCGCCGCCGCCGCCGTCGATACTTCATCGACCGCCAAGGATAAGGAGAAGAAAGAAAGCAGACGTGTCGTCGTCGAAGAGAAAGATATCGACACTTCGATGACCGGTGAAAAGAAAAACGACATGGGAGACGGTGTAGACAATTGTTGTTCTTCGATCGTCGAAGACAAAGACGTAGACGGCATTAAAGTCAAGGACAAAGTCAAAGACGTAGTAGACAAAAAAGTCGAGGACAAAGTCAAAGACGTAGTTGACCCAAATTTTGTCATTGATGACAACGACGATTTTGTAGATCGTTCTGTGTTTTCTGACGATGACGACGAAAATTACTACGGCGAAAACTACGGTTTTTATTAGTCAAGTCAAAAGACGATTTGCTTTTGCTGCAATATTTTCTATACAAGCATGTGTGGATCAATGGTTTTATAATAAAAAATCAATGTTCAGAATTGATGCATCATTGTAATTATTAGTGGATCGCACTATTAATGGATCGTGCGAAAAAGTAAAAACGTGGTGTCATCTGTGCACTTCTTAAAAATGGAATTAATTTGTATAGTGTTGGGATTTTATTTTTCTAAAAAGACCGTCTGGCTTTTTTGGCAGACATCGCGTGTGTAATTGCAATTGTGGCCCGAAAAAAGGCAGACGGCTTTTTTGGCAGACATCGCGTGTGTAATTGCAATTGTTGCCCGAAAAAAGGCAGACGGCTTTTTTGGCAGACATCGCGTGTGTAATTGCAATTGTGGCACGAGAAAAAAGCCGTGCGCTCTTTTTAACAAAAAAGGCAGACGGCTTTTTTCTTGGAAAAGAGCACACGGCTTTTTCAGGTTCTACGTAACGCAGTCAGGTGAATCGACTGGTCCTTTTTATGCTTAGTGACATCTATATGAAGGTTTACTAAATTTTGAGTAAGTAATTTAAGGTTATTTTTATTTAAACTAATTGTCATTACAAGTTTCTACATATGTGTCAGAACACAACACACAGACAGTGTTTTTGTTCTGACACATGTAAACACAACTTTTATAGACCAAGTGTATCCCATAAAATAATTTAGACATAGGTCAAACAAAAGGTTGAATCTTCTAGGGGATTAATTTGAGGTCCATGCAAAAAAAAGTGTAACTATACATTGCATTTGATTTATTCACAGTTGAGGTATTCTAATTATTCTGTGCAGATTTTTAAAAAAAATCAATCTTTTCAGTATTTTACTGTTGTCTGTAATATATTAAAAATCCATCAATTACATGTTTATTGTCATCCAATTGGTACATCACAATTAAAATGAAAATTTTTATCTCATTTATGGTTCAATAGCAGCCCGATATATAGAGTCGCTAGGTCAATAACACACTGTATGGTGTCTGACACATCCCTTTAAAGTCTAATATGCAGTTATGAATCTGTTAAACACATGGTCTTTTCTGTTTCGCTCTAAACATATAGTACCATTTAACATACCAGTACTCAGTAATTCAAGTTGCCAAAACATGGACTTTTCAAGTGATATCATTGAATTTATTGTATTTAATGTCATCCTAATCTAGGAATTGGTCCCTTTGACCTAAACAATTGGAATATTAGTATGGGTAATAGTATTTTATAATAATTAATATAATAATTAAATAATTAATTAATTAATTAATTAATAATCTTTGTAGGAAACACTTGTCAGGACACAAGACTGAAAGAAAGACGTACTAAAAAACTGCCTGTAAACACAACAATCATTAAAGTCAATGGATTACCCAGGAACATCCAAGCAATATGATATCAGAGACTGGCAATTTGTATCACTTGATGTGGCAGAAAAACCTAAATAAATATTGAAATGTTCAATTTCTTTGTTCATTGCTTTTCTCTTGTGTATATGAATATCGCATAATATTTATGCAAATTTCGCACGATTTTTACATGAAAAACTGATAATTTGGAATTCGCATGAATATCATGCAAAATTTCAGTCACATGAAAATCGCATGAATTTAGCATAAATATTATATGAGGACATTCGCATGAAATTCGCATGTGGAACTTTTCACATGGTTTTTATATGGTTTTCGCACGAAATTCATGCGAAAAGGCAATCGCATGAAAATCATGCGAGCCACTTTTCCCTGTGTATATTGTTATTTAAGTTTACCGATTTTAACTGTATTCTTTGTTCGTCTTGGGAGAAAGAGAGCGGTTCTCTCTAATGTACCGACAAAGAGTCCGCTTTGCTCGTCTCGGAGACATCACACGACCAGCGACCCGACTCTACAGCTGGAATAAACAAGTGTCTGGGTAGCGCAATATACAAGTGTCTGGGTAGCGCTAGTATATAAGACCAGCGGCTTCAGCACCGTTATTCCAGTCCAGAAGAGCAAGAGACAGAGATGCAGAAGATGATGTTGGCGTTTTTAATTTTAACCACTGTAGCAGTCGTTAGGTCGTGCAGTATTACAAGTGAGACTTTGCACTGCAGTAACTTGCAACATGCCGTTTCAACTTTGCAAAGAGGCATCAGAGTTTCCATGATGTCTATCGACAATGCAGCGACCACAGGCCAGATGATAGACTTGAGCAGATTCCCCACACTCCAGAAGATCCAGATCCTAAATACAGATATGACGTGTGATGACTTTAAACTGACCAGGGGCACAACACTCATGTTGAAAGACAAATTTTGCAAGGTAATTTTTTAATTTCTTTTTTCATCATAGGGGTCAATCTTAATTCTAAATATTATTTTGAATTAAATAACTTTTCCCGTTATGTTTTTTAAATTCTTGTCACATTATTGAAAATAATTAGATTAAAATCTTAAGACGGTAATATCATTGTGCAAGACTTGTAAACATTTAATGTAAACAGTAATGATAATTTTTTTTTTTTATTTAATTGCAGTATTTTGGTACGACAGAGGCTAGCTACGACACAACAAAATCGTTGACATCTGTCCTTACCGAATCTGCAGCGGTGGCATTTAGTAAGTAAAACTTTACATATTAAACAAAACGTGTTATTTTACCATTCTATACATTGTGGAAAAGAAAAAAAAAAAAAAACTTTTACATAATTTTTATCAGATCAATGGAATTCAATTCGAAATCAATTTCAATAAAAGTATAAATAATTTCAGACAGTCCCTGGATCATTGCGACGGGGATCATGACAGGCCTTGTAGTGATCTGTGTTATATGCGGAACTGTTCTGTTGATTAGGAGACTTTTCCAAAAGAGAAATTCTCTAATTCGTATTGACACTGAATCCGTGCAAGAATTTAATGTTCAGGAGTTTAGCATCATGCGAGAATTTAAATCCACCCCGCCGCCGCAGCCAGTCCGCGCAATTCGCCGCTCAACGAGGATCCGAAAAGTGCCACAGCGTTACGGACATTGAGCAGATTTGAGTGTCTTTATGGACTTTTGTAAATATTAGTGCTGTTTCCCTGTAAATTATTTGTTATTTTATTCATGTTATACTATTATATTTTCCATGTACATACTTTAAGCAGGTTTAAAACGAAACAATGAATAATGAGTAAATAGTTTGTGACAGTATGTAACAACACACAAATAAATTGATAATACGTTTGACTTCTTTTTTTTTAATTCTTAATTTTCTATATCAAAGGAGGAATGACTTGGTTAAAAGCACTGGTTTATTAAAGGAAATTGTGCAAAACAAGCTAAAATCTTAACAGTGTATACAGAAAATTAGAGAAATATTCCGGTCTAGTGGACAATAAAATTGACAATGGGTGTAAAGGAAATAAATGAAATGGTGGATTAAAAATATGATATTCTGTTCAGATTAGCTAAAAACTATAAGGTGTGATAAGATAAAATCCGTAAAATCCTTTTTCACTTGTGAATGTAATTGGATTAAGGAAAAAGATGTAAGAATAAAATTAATCCAATTGTAATCATTGGATTATTTTCACTCGATCAAGTATGGGATGTAAAGACATGACAGGATTATGGTATCAGTTTAGGAAATAGTATTGAATGAAGTGTAAGGCGGTGTAAGAAAATTAATCTAATTGGATATAATCAAATGCAGATCAAGGATGATTTTACCTATGGATTCACGCCCCGTTATATTATATTGTACAATCTTAAGAATGAGAAAGGGTTGTTTGTAATAAACAAGATTAGTAAGCATGGTAATGATTTTCTGATAAAAAGAGAAAGTTTTAAAGAGTTTCATTCAAATTGATTTTGTAAACTGTCGAGATCGTCATGGCCAAAGAAAGTTACAGTCTTTCTCTTAGCAGTGAGAGATGTTTGAGAGTTTTTCCAAATGATTACCACACGATAGTGGATATCAGAACCATGGAGGATGACGAATTTTGTAAACAAAAGGGACAGGAACTCTCCTTGTCTAAATGGAGAATTTTATGCGATCACTTGGAGGATTTGGAAAGCGCAATGACTGAAGTGAAAAATGAAAATGAAGTTAACTTCAAGCTTCATCTCGGTGGAAATGTATATGTGACAATTAACTCTCCTTACATGTGTTTGAATATCAGAGAATTCCAACCAGGAAAGTATTCAAAAAACAAAAAAACGATGTACCCTACACCAAAAGGCGTCTCCTTAAGATTCAAAGAGTGGACCAAGCTAATGACTAATCTTGAGGAAGTTAACTTTCAACTACCGGTCGAACTGGACTCAGTAATGCCATGCCACCTTACCCACCAAAACCAGACGGGAATGATCGAATGTTCCGAGTGCAATCCAAATGCTGACGTTTAACAAACTGTAAAGTATATACTGTGTATATATATGTATATATATCGCAAATTAAATTAAAGAAGGGAGTGTATATTGTTTTTCGCACAAAAAATCTGTTGTAAATTTACTTTCTGAAATGGTTGTATCATGAATAAATCTTATTTGAAACTGTAAATGATTTTTTTATTTACAATTTTTGATAGCATGGATATATATTGAAAAGGTCACATGAAACTTATTTTATCCCATTTTAATGTTGTCTGTGTTCAAGTCAACATGTTTCCTTTCAATAGTTGTACAACTATTTCTATATCTGGAACAACAGGATCAGGGAAGACCACACTTGTCAGGAAAATTATTCACTTTATGAAGTCAATGTTTTCCCCAACTCCGCCTGTAAAAGTTTTGTACTGTTACGGTGTTTTTCAAGAGCTCTTCAACGAAATGGAAGAGTTATTTCCCTTTGTCACCTTTCATCAAGGTCTGCCAGCTGATACCGATATTAATGATTTAACTGAGAATAACTCTCATAATATGATTATCATCGATGATTTGATGAATGAGTTAGTCGCAAACAAAGAAATGGAAAAGCTTTTTACGCAGGGTGCACATCACAAAAAGCTTACAATTTTATATTTAAATCAAAACATGTACTGTCAGGGAAAACATTCAAGAACTATAAATCTGAATACCCACTACATGGTGTTGTTAAAAATCCTAGGGATGTTTCACAAATTCAATGTTTAGGTAAACAGGTATTTCCAGGAAAATCTTATGCATTAACCGAAGCATATGAAGACTGCATGAAAAATCCATTTGGTTATCTGGTGTTAGATTTATCACCT